CCACCATGGCCTGGACCCGTGCGCCCCCCCCCCCCCTTGTCATCATGAGCCAGCTGCAGCGTGGGGCTAGGGTGGGGTGTAGTGGTCGGGTCTGGCCCAGGTGTGGATGTGGTTTGTGGGTGTCGCTGCGTTATTAGCGTGTGGCTGCCCCAGCCCGGGTGACGAACTGCGTGGGTGTGAGGCGCGTAGTGTAGACGGGGCCTAAGGCACCTTTATCCCAATATTACTGTGTTCATGCTAGGGGCTGTATTGGTATCAGTATCAGTAGATCAGTAAAAATCACCTCCCTAACCAACATAGTCGTATTGGTACCAAATCTGTGTGTTGAGCAGGCCTCACTGCATTACCCCTTACCACCTACCACACTGCAAAGTGATGAAAACGCCAAGCCAGGTCCACACTAGGACATTTTGTTGGCAGAGCTATGTCGGTCAGGGGTGTGAAAAAAACACATCCCTCCAGCCAACATTGCTAGGCCAGTAACACCCCCAGTGTAGACGCAGCTATGCCGACAGAAGAGAGCTTCTGTGGGCAGAGTTAACATCATTCGGGGAGGTGGTGGTGTTATACCATCACAAGAACCCCCTCTGTGGGCACAGGCTGTGTCTACACTAGGTGACTCTACCTGTATAGGTGTACTGATATAGCTGTAGCAGAAGAGCATGTGTAGTGTAAACTAGCCCACAGTCTTTAAAGCTGTCCTTTTCTGTTTCAGGTGGCTGTTTTCCAGGCCAGGCATCCATTTCCTCTTACAAATCAGTATCTTTCCTTGCTGAAGGTATTACTTGTTGCATGAACACCTTGGATCTATAATTTTCTTGTTTAACCTGCCTGTCCCCTTTCAAAAGTTTGTCTTCCTGCTTCTTCCCTCACATTCCACTGATGATAATATGGCTGGAATATTCAGTTACACTTTCACTAGCCTCATAATCACTTGTGCATGTCCTTTTTTATCCGCTGTTTATTTTAAGGCATTTTTGTATTCAAACACAAGAGCAACATGGTGGAACAAGACTCAGGAGAGTGTTACATTTCTGCGCTGCAGTGGGGTAACGTACCCGGCGGGAACATGCTATACAGTACAATCAGTCCTCTTGTTTGGCAGTTTTTGGCCAAAGAGACATGTAAAATTGTGAGAGACACAATGAGAGCTCTGTGACGCTTGAAAGCTTGTCTCTTCCCCCAACAGAAGTTGGTTCAATAAAAGACATTGCCTTGGCCACTTTGTCTCTCATATCCTGGGATCAACACTGCAAATGTATTATACTTAGATAGCATCAGACATGCTGTAGAAATATTAATTACTTACTTAAGATTATCCTTATTTTTATAGCTGGGGAAAATGAAGTATAGAGAAGTGAATCACAGAGAGCTGAGAAAGGAGCTCGGATCTGTTAACTGTGCCAGCCTTTTGATCATTCTTACGCTGTCTCTGTGTTGTTCGCGGCCTCTGGAATATTTGTTAGCAGTTGTATAGTGTGTCAAGCTTCCAGAGATTTATGGGCGCATCTAAATGTTCTGTATTTTTATGGGCAACCTTCCTATGGTCTGGTCTACGCTTAAAAGTTTTGCTGGCTTAGCTATGTCGGTTAGTAATGTGGAAGAAATCACACCCGTAACTGACATAGCTATGCCGGCAGGAGACCTAGTGTAGTTCTACTGGGGGAAAAAATCCTTTTGCCAGTACGGTATAGCTTATTTCTTTTGGGGAACTGGTATATGCTTTAAGCCAGGGGTAGGCAACCTATGGCACGCGTGCTGAAGGCGGCACGCGAGCTGATTTTCATGGCATTCACACTGCCCGGGTCCTGGCCACTGGTCTGGAGGCCTCTGCATTTTCATTTAATTTTAAATGAAGCTTCTTAAACATTTTAAAAA